CTTCCATTGTTATGATTATGGAAACATGCTAATTTGAAATACGTCCTGACAACAAACGAGTAGTAGTCACTCGATGAGAAGGTGAACAGTAAGTAGTAAGTAGTGAGATGTAAAACCTGTTGCAAACTGAATTGAAAAGAAACATGCACCTGTTAACTTATTAACAAAGTAAACAATGTTAGTAAAGATGACGTCAAACTGCAAGTGATCACGGTGCTGGATACTGATCTGTGCTTTTCTAACTATTAGGTAAGGGGAAGACACGATGTGCTTTGTTTGATTCCTCATTGAACAACTGTATCCATCACTGATGCACCTGATTTTCAGATGTATCACTGCACAATTACATTTCTTGTAACTTCGTGCACAAGCATGTGAACATAAAATGACTTGTGGGTCGCGTAACTAACTCAACGAGCATCAGTTTGTCACGATTTTATCTTGTCGTTCATCATATATTACAAATTACTCTCTTTTCCTAACTGAATAGTGGAGGCAGCCAGCCGAAATGGTTCCGCGTGTTACGTCAATCTACCACCACAATTTATTGAAGGTAAGACAAATCTTTAATGGTTGTTCAATTGCGTAGTGAAATAAGACCAGTGTATGATAAAGTGACTAACTTCTACAGTAATTGTAATATCAAAAGCGTGAATTAACATCAATGTGTTGTATAAGATTTTGTTTCCAATGCGTGATTGTCTTCTTTATTTCATTATTAACTTAGTCAACTAATCTGTTGATTTTCATGTTGTTTTGTTTTCATAAAAGTTATTCAGGAGGTCGACGAAATATTTTATCAGTTCTATCGTATGAATAGCGAATTCAGTAAATATTTGTGTAAGTACTACAAGTTGATGCATTTCAATTGTGTGTGGATGAAATTTGAATTGATGCGCAACCCAAGTGGTTTGTCGTAACGTTTTGTTGAAAGTGAGCTGTTATGTCATGTCGCAGAATGATAAGATAGTCATTTTCATCAAAATGTAGTGTAAGTTATAATTTGTTGTCTGTGCAATATGATGTTCATTGTTTGGTTCGAAAAAGAGTGTCTTGCATTATCAGTTTAATTAACCTTGTCAAAACCCGCTTGATACTTTTTTTCTGCCAATGTGTCATAGCTTCTATGGTCGTGTATTCAAACCACTGAAGGTTTTTAATTGCTCCGTGTATTAGTATATGTAGTGTTGGCTAACAGCAAAATTCAAACTTCAAACTTCGTGTTGTTTGCGACTGACAAACAACCAAACAATAGAAAACCATTAATAATATTGTCATGACCATTGAATGGCACCTGACTGTTCAAAGCAAGATGTGTTATGTTCGTGTCATAGAATTCATTTCAACACCGAGATGCAAGAAATTAATTTCAACGAGTGTCGAGTTAGATTCAACCGTGCTATCACCATTTAGATTATTGGACACTGTTGACTAAAATTGAATCAAAGCATTCAGATCGAAACATAGGATGCTCTTTAAAATCAGTGAACGTGTATTTAATTTAAACGATTTTTACATATTAATATCAAATGTGATGTTCACTGGACAAATGTGAAAACACTGGTTCTACTTTATGATTTCAGTTCTCAGCACATTTGGCTTGGAAGAAATTTACTAGTAACACGTGAGATTTTGAATAAAAGTAAAACCTTATTGTTGTAACAAAATCATCCAGTATGATCGTGCAGACTGACAACGTAGGCACAAGCCACACAAAAGTTGTAAGCCATTACTTCTGAAGTAAGAATTTGATATGAGATGAAATGTGTTTGGTTGATATGAGATTTGTTGACGACCAGATATTCCGACGTAGTATTTCGATTGTGAAATGTGTGTAACTGACTAGATAAGGTGTTGTGTCTTGTGGTCACTAATTCACCATGTACCGAAACACTAATAAATATCACGTGCTGTATTCCTCAATCAAGATTACAATTGTCGAATAATTCATCCACATCGCTAGTAGAGCGTTGACTTATTTCACTAGTCCTTGGAAGAACAAGCCTCACAACACGCCAAGGGGTAGTAAAGTGCATGACAAAAGCGAAAAGATCTATTGACAGCTCAGAAACACTGCAACATAAAATGACAACCTCACAGTTATCCAATGCTAATTTCATAACCGAAATAAAAATAATGATAACCTCAAAAATTATTATTAATAGGTCAACTTCCCTAACCTTCATCCCCTTTTAACAACAAAATAACGATATGTCACTGTAAAATGAGTTATTCCAGGTAACTCAAACATCTAGATTACAACGTTTGATGCTATCTACTGAACGTCGAGAAACTATCAACATCCGACTACCGATAAATATGAGCATAGCAATCCTTAAAATACAACAGCTTGATTCAAGCAACCACAAGTGTTCATTGTTATCAATGATTGATTCTGTAAAGCAAATTACTCTAGATTTTCATGTTTCATTTCGTTGATTGCAAATTATTAACACAATATTCTATGATCATTTCATCCAACTGTTAGATGTATAGTGAAAAATTTACTAACCATTCAGTATTTGAAAGAGATATTTTTGGATTTTTAAGTGTATTGACATCTGTGGTGATCATGTAGTTCTATTCCATACTCGTCAGTTATATCTGAAACAATTACATAACGTTCGAAACAATGATGCATTAACCATGCCGTGACTGAAAGGCTCAAACTCTTAGGAATCATATAGAATAAATAATTTTAATACATTCAATCGAATCTGTGTAAACAGCATTAGTTAACTGATTCAATGTGGCAACTCCTCATTAATGTACTTGGTTTTTGTTTTATTTCAAAGCTAATGCGCAGGCTCACCTACGAATAGATTGGTCTCAGCGGTTGATCTGTATACATATATGTAACTGTGAAAATAATAAAATGTTTAAACTGGAGAAATTTCAAAATAATTCCTTTGTAGAACAGAGAGAGAGGGAATTCAGTATTGACAAAAGAGGTTCGAAATAATCCTATAAAATTTTGTAAGTGGCTTGTGAAGATGACTTTCATCAGGAATCAGCCTAAAACCTTATCAGTTACGAAATTCGATGAGCGAACAAGAGTGCAGGAAATATTTGATATTCAACAACATTTTCAGTGGAGCACAACACGAATATGTATGTGCAACATCAAAAACAGATCTTGATATAGGTGGAAAAATGTTGACGAATTAAAGACGACAGCAGCTAATCAACAAACAATGAATCTGCTGTGAAAATGACATTTTCAACAATTTGAATGAGGTTATCATTCCACAAAAGAGATCGTCATTTATTAACAATAAACCATGTAAAGGTAGATGACTCTAGCGATTCCTTACAAAACAACTGATAGCATACTTTTGAAATAAGGTCATGATTTGCATGAAATTTCACATTCCACTTAAAAATGATATATTCAATAAATAGAAAATGTATGTAGTTCAGTGATTACATGTCATTTCTTATCAGAGAACAGGAACAACTTGGAATAAAATATCAAAATATTGTGTTTCATCATTAGTTTTCTGTTGTTGCTTGCTTGCTTGAACATCTGGGCCACCTGCTTATGCCATCTGAATGTTTCAACAAGTTATCCGTTTCTGGCTGTTTTAACGCATCACCATGTTTGTCATTCGCAAACCTGTTAAGGAGCGTTTATGAAAAGCATAAAAGTCCAATCAGAGACATTTTGGTTGCTGGCAATATGCAGCGAAAAAATGTACGTTAATCAGATATCGATTCTTGGACTGCTAACTTCTAGCTGGCGACCACTCAATATTTGTCGTCAGGATCGACCTAGTATTAGGAAAAGGAAACGTGTTGAAATACATTGTTCTGATAATTCTATCTTGCAGTAATTATGTAGCAGTGCACTTTATCTAAGAATTTCGGTTGAATAGATATAACTTCATTTTCATAAGTTGGATTGAATATTAATTTTCAGAACATCAAACCATGATTTGATTCATCAATAACAAACTTACATTTAAAATTCGTCCGACACACCATTTAATTTTGATGAACTGTTTATATTTAATGTATATTTTCAAGTGGTTCACTGACGCTTTCTCAAACGGTACTCATTTATATTCCATCTTTGACGTACAACAGACGCCTATGTTTGCCGGCTACGGTTGCCGTTAACGCCTGCCGGTTCGGAAGTTTCCCGAATTATTTTTCTTGTCGATCGATTTTGAGTTGGGAAAACTGCAGGGTTTTCTTCAATTTCTGGAGGACTTTCCATGCTGGTTATGATACCAGCACCAGTCGGGATTATCAGTCTCGCGTGGTTTAGAGAGAGATCGCCTACGTTAAGTTCTTCTTCGAGGGGTGTGTGATGGTTTACGGTCGTTACAAATTTAAGGTAATGTGTAAGTGTATGAAATAACTCCGTTATGTCATTCTGGGTCGTTTGAGGCTTTTCTTTGCCTGAAAAAACATCGGCATAAGATTTCGTAATTTCTAAGATGCAATCGGCAGATGCAGCCAGCTCGTCTAAGACGTTGTTTTGAAACGAGACCAGCACAGCTTGCACCTGTTGAGGAATCTTGGACAAGAAACGTTTTTTGAATAGGCCGTCATCGAAGGTTCTTTGGCCGATAACCTCTCTCATCCTTTGCAACATGTCTGTCGCAGAACCGTATTGCAGGTCCATGTTATTAAGGAGTTGGTCTAACCTTTGTCGATCGGTTATTGCAGTGGTTGTTGAGCAAACACCACTTTGACAAACATTTGGCCCCTACTGAAACTATGGACAAGGCAATTTGCGTGAGCAGAAATCATTGCGATAATTGTAAGTATTTGAATAATAGTACAAACTAAGAATCCCATAAATAATGCAATTTAACCATGAAGTATTAGATGAGCACGAATAAACGTATTGTCATTGGAATCGGAAATCAAGGAGTCAACAAGTACAAATCAACCATTAGTTCATACAAACATAACAGAAAATTAAGCCTTAGACTGACCATGTTGATAAAATGATCATAGTGAATGTATAATATCAAATAATATCAATTGATTCACCGACGCTTTCTCAAGCGATACACGTTTACATTCCATTCATCATCATCATCATCATCATCATCATCATCATCATCATCATCATCATCATCATCATCATCATCATCATCATCATCATCATCATCATCATCATCATCATCATCATCATCATCATCATCATCATCATCATCATCATCATCATCATCATCATCATCATCATCATCATCATCATCATCATCATCATCATCATCATCATCATCATCATCATCATCATCATCATCATCATCATCATCATCATCATCATCATCATCATCATCATCATCATCATCATCATCATCATCATCATCATCATCATCATCATCATCATCATCATCATCATCATCATCATCATCATCATCATCATCATCATCATCATCATCATCATCATCATCATCATCATCATCATCATCATCATCATCATCATCATCATCATCATCATCATCATCATCATCATCATCATCATCATCATCATCATCATCATCATCATCATCATCATCATCATCATCATCATCATCATCATCATCATCATCATCATCATCATCATCATCATCATCATCATCATCATCATCATCATCATCATCATCATCATCATCATCATCATCATCATCATCATCATCATCATCATCATCATCATCATCATCATCATCATCATCATCATCATCATCATCATCATCATCATCATCATCATCATCATCATCATCATCATCATCATCATCATCATCATCATCATCATCATCATCATCATCATCATCATCATCATCATCATCATCATCATCATCATCATCATCATCATCATCATCATCATCATCATCATCATCATCATCATCATCATCATCATCATCATCATCATCATCATCATCATCATCATCATCATCATCATCATCATCATCATCATCATCATCATCATCATCATCATCATCATCATCATCATCATCATCATCATCATCATCATCATCATCATCATCATCATCATCATCATCATCATCATCATCATCATCATCATCATCATCATCATCATCATCATCATCATCATCATCATCATCATCATCATCATCATCATCATCATCATCATCATCATCATCATCATCATCATCATCATCATCATCATCATCATCATCATCATCATCATCATCATCATCATCATCATCATCATCATCATCATCATCATCATCATCATCATCATCATCATCATCATCATCATCATCATCATCATCATCATCATCATCATCATCATCATCATCATCATCATCATCATCATCATCATCATCATCATCATCATCATCATCATCATCATCATCATCATCATCATCATCATCATCATCATCATCATCATCATCATCATCATCATCATCATCATCATCATCATCATCATCATCATCATCATCATCATCATCATCATCATCATCATCATCATCATCATCATCATCATCATCATCATCATCATCATCATCATCATCATCATCATCATCATCATCATCATCATCATCATCATCATCATCATCATCATCATCATCATCATCATCATCATCATCATCATCATCATCATCATCATCATCATCATCATCATCATCATCATCATCATCATCATCATCATCATCATCATCATCATCATCATCATCATCATCATCATCATCATCATCATCATCATCATCATCATCATCATCATCATCATCATCATCATCATCATCATCATCATCATCATCATCATCATCATCATCATCATCATCATCATCATCATCATCATCATCATCATCATCATCATCATCATCATCATCATCATCATCATCATCATCATCATCATCATCATCATCATCATCATCATCATCATCATCATCATCATCATCATCATCATCATCATCATCATCATCATCATCATCATCATCATCATCATCATCATCATCATCATCATCATCATCATCATCATCATCATCATCATCATCATCATCATCATCATCATCATCATCATCATCATCATCATCATCATCATCATCATCATCATCATCATCATCATCATCATCATCATCATCATCATCATCATCATCATCATCATCATCATCATCATCATCATCATCATCATCATCATCATCATCATCATCATCATCATCATCATCATCATCATCATCATCATCATCATCATCATCATCATCATCATCATCATCATCATCATCATCATCATCATCATCATCATCATCATCATCATCATCATCATCATCATCATCATCATCATCATCATCATCATCATCATCATCATCATCATCATCATCATCATCATCATCATCATCATCATCATCATCATCATCATCATCATCATCATCATCATCATCATCATCATCATCATCATCATCATCATCATCATCATCATCATCATCATCATCATCATCATCATCATCATCATCATCATCATCATCATCATCATCATCATCATCATCATCATCATCATCATCATCATCATCATCATCATCATCATCATCATCATCATCATCATCATCATCATCATCATCATCATCATCATCATCATCATCATCATCATCATCATCATCATCATCATCATCATCATCATCATCATCATCATCATCATCATCATCATCATCATCATCATCATCATCATCATCATCATCATCATCATCATCATCATCATCATCATCATCATCATCATCATCATCATCATCATCATCATCATCATCATCATCATCATCATCATCATCATCATCATCATCATCATCATCATCATCATCATCATCATCATCATCATCATCATCATCATCATCATCATCATCATCATCATCATCATCATCATCATCATCATCATCATCATCATCATCATCATCATCATCATCATCATCATCATCATCATCATCATCATCATCATCATCATCATCATCATCATCATCATCATCATCATCATCATCATCATCATCATCATCATCATCATCATCATCATCATCATCATCATCATCATCATCATCATCATCATCATCATCATCATCATCATCATCATCATCATCATCATCATCATCATCATCATCATCATCATCATCATCATCATCATCATCATCATCATCATCATCATCATCATCATCATCATCATCATCATCATCATCATCATCATCATCATCATCATCATCATCATCATCATCATCATCATCATCATCATCATCATCATCATCATCATCATCATCATCATCATCATCATCATCATCATCATCATCATCATCATCATCATCATCATCATCATCATCATCATCATCATCATCATCATCATCATCATCATCATCATCATCATCATCATCATCATCATCATCATCATCATCATCATCATCATCATCATCATCATCATCATCATCATCATCATCATCATCATCATCATCATCATCATCATCATCATCATCATCATCATCATCATCATCATCATCATCATCATCATCATCATCATCATCATCATCATCATCATCATCATCATCATCATCATCATCATCATCATCATCATCATCATCATCATCATCATCATCATCATCATCATCATCATCATCATCATCATCATCATCATCATCATCATCATCATCATCATCATCATCATCATCATCATCATCATCATCATCATCATCATCATCATCATCATCATCATCATCATCATCATCATCATCATCATCATCATCATCATCATCATCATCATCATCATCATCATCATCATCATCATCATCATCATCATCATCATCATCATCATCATCATCATCATCATCATCATCATCATCATCATCATCATCATCATCATCATCATCATCATCATCATCATCATCATCATCATCATCATCATCATCATCATCATCATCATCATCATCATCATCATCATCATCATCATCATCATCATCATCATCATCATCATCATCATCATCATCATCATCATCATCATCATCATCATCATCATCATCATCATCATCATCATCATCATCATCATCATCATCATCATCATCATCATCATCATCATCATCATCATCATCATCATCATCATCATCATCATCATCATCATCATCATCATCATCATCATCATCATCATCATCATCATCATCATCATCATCATCATCATCATCATCATCATCATCATCATCATCATCATCATCATCATCATCATCATCATCATCATCATCATCATCATCATCATCATCATCATCATCATCATCATCATCATCATCATCATCATCATCATCATCATCATCATCATCATCATCATCATCATCATCATCATCATCATCATCATCATCATCATCATCATCATCATCATCATCATCATCATCATCATCATCATCATCATCATCATCATCATCATCATCATCATCATCATCATCAATCATCATCATCATCATCATCATCATCATCATCATCATCATCATCATCATCATCATCATCATCATCATCATCATCATCATCATCATCATCATCATCATCATCATCATCATCATCATCATCATCATCATCATCATCATCATCATCATCATCATCATCATCATCATCATCATCATCATCATCATCATCATCATCATCATCATCATCATCATCATCATCATCATCATCATCATCATCATCATCATCATCATCATCATCATCATCATCATCATCATCATCATCATCATCATCATCATCATCATCATCATCATCATCATCATCATCATCATCATCATCATCATCATCATCATCATCATCATCATCATCATCATCATCATCATCATCATCATCATCATCATCATCATCATCATCATCATCATCATCATCATCATCATCATCATCATCATCATCATCATCATCATCATCATCATCATCATCATCATCATCATCATCATCATCATCATCATCATCATCATCATCATCATCATCATCATCATCATCATCATCATCATCATCATCATCATCATCATCATCATCATCATCATCATCATCATCATCATCATCATCATCATCATCATCATCATCATCATCATCATCATCATCATCATCATCATCATCATCATCATCATCATCATCATCATCATCATCATCATCATCATCATCATCATCATCATCATCATCATCATCATCATCATCATCATCATCATCATCATCATCATCATCATCATCATCAATCATCATCATCATCATCATCATCATCATCATCATCATCATCATCATCATCATCATCATCATCATCATCATCATCATCATCATCATCATCATCATCATCATCTCATCATCATCATCATCATCATCATCATCATCATCATCATCATCATCATCATCATCATCATCATCATCATCATCATCATCATCATCATCATCATCATCATCATCATCAATCATCATCATCATCATCATCATCATCATCATCATCATCATCATCATCATCATCATCATCATCATCATCATCATCATCATCATCATTCATCATCATCATCATCATCATCATCATCATCATCATCATCATCATCATCATCATCATCATTCATCATCATCATCATCATCATCATCATCATCATCATCATCATCATCATCATCATCATCATCATCATCATCATCATCATCATCATCATCATCATCATCATCATCATCATCATCATCATCATCATCATCATCATCATCATCATCATCATCATCATCATCATCATCATCATCATCATCATCATCATCATCATCATCATCATCATCATCATCATCATCATCCATCATCATCATCATCATCATCATCATCATCATCATCATCATCATCATCATCATCATCATCATCATCATCATCATCATCATCATCATCATCATCATCATCATCAATCTCATCATCATCATCATCATCATCATCATCATCATCATCATCATCATCATCATCATCATCATCATCATCATCCATCATCATCATCATCATCATCATCATCATCATCATCATCATCATCATCATTCATCATCATCATCATCATCATCATCATCATCATCATCATCATCATCATCATCATCATCATCATCATCATCATCATCTATCATCATCATCATCATCATCACATCATCATCATCATCATCATCATCATCATCATCATCATCATCATCATCATCATCATCATCATCATCATCATCATCATCATCAATCATCCTCATCATCATCATCATCATCATCATCATCATCATCATCATCATCATCATCATCATCATCATCATCATCATCATCATCATCATCATCATCATCATCATCATCATCATCAATCATCATCATCAATCATCATCATCAATCATCATCATCATCATCATCATCATCATCATCATCATCATCATCATCATCATCATCATCATCATCATCCTCATCATCATCATCATCATCATCATCATCATCATCATCATCATCATCATCATCATCATCATCATCATCATCATCATCATCATCATCATCATCATCATCATCATCATCATCATCATCATCAATCATCATCATCATCATCATCATCATCATCATCCATCATCATCATCATCATCATCATCATCATCATCATCCTCATCATCATCATCATCATCAATCATCATCATCAATCATCATCATCATCATCATCATCATCATCATCATCATCATCATCATCATCATCATCAATCATCATCATCATCATCATCATCATCATCATCATCATCATCATCATCATCATCATCATCATCATCATCATCAATAATCATCATCATCATCATCACATCATCATCATCATCATCATCATCATCATCATCATCATCATCATATCATCATCATCATCATCATCATCATCATCATCATCATCATCATCATCATCATAATCATCATCATCATCATCATCATCATCATCATCATCATCATCATCATCATCATCATCATCATCAATCATCATCATCATCATCATCATCATCATCATCATCATCATCATCATCATCATCATCATCATCATCATCATCATCATCATCATCATCATCATCATCATCATCATCATCATCATCATCATCATCATCATCATCATCATCATCATCATCATCATCATCATCATCATCATCATCATCATCATCATCATCATCATCATCATCATCATCATCATCATCATCATCATCATCATCATCATCATCATCATCATCATCATCATCATCATCATCATCATCATCATCATCATCATCATCATCATCATCATCATCATCATCATCATCATCATCATCATCATCATCATCATCATCATCATCATCATCATCATCATCATCATCATCATCATCATCATCATCATCATCATCATCATCCATCATCATCATCATCATCATCATCATCATCATCATCATCATCATCATCATCATCATCATCATCATCATCATCATCATCATCATCATCATCATCATCATCATATCATCATCATCATCATCATCATCATCATCATCATCATCATCATCATCATTCATCATCATCATCATCATCATCATCATCATCATCATCATCATCATCATCATCATCATCCTCATCATCATCATCA